GGTTATTGGTAACGGTTCATCCTCGTCTCCTTGCACAAGACAGTACTTTTGACATGCTTGCATAAAAGGCGGTCAAATTTGAGTCTACTAACTACCTATTTTTCTAGTGTTGAAATATTGTTAAGTCATGCTTTTGATTGTTTCACTACCTAATATTTGTAAAGAGGTTCAAGTTTAGGGTGATGCTTCACTTTAACGAGTTGTGTGTGTATTCATGCAACACTATAAGGTGATAGTCTATGCTTCCCTACAGCTCAAAGCACGAGAAAAGAAACTATTTGATAGATGGCCTAGTTTTAGGAGTTTTTCATATTTGCTTTGAAGATATTATGGCAATACCTATATGGCAATCAAGTGGAGCTTTTCCCCAACCACATGAGCATGAAGTGCTGCATCACACAGACAGAGCTCATTTAATATTGGAGATTGAGGGAACTTCTTGAAGATTAAGACTTGGTGATTCAATACCATCCTGACGAAACAAAAGTTGCAGCTGATAACTTCAGCAAAAGTTGATGCACACTGCCTTCTGAATACCTGACAGAACAAGTGTTGTGCTATTAGCTCTCCTAGAAGGCCAGTGGCTTTTGGCTGACAAATTGGAGCTGGTTGGTAGTGAAAATCTGGAAAACAACTCTTTTTGGCAGGTTTTTAAATTAGAAAGTAAGGATGGCCTATGTTTCACAAAAGATTGTCTTGATGCATTGAGGATGCCACCTTGTGAGAGGCACATCAAACTACTTATATCGTCTACCGAAGTGTCTGGAAGATATATCAAGATTTTCATACCGAGGAAAGTGAAATAGAAAAGTGAAATAGAAATAGATAGGGAGACAATGAGAGAAATAAGAGAGTGGCATACCTATTTTGATCAATCTCAAAGCATCCTAAACCTATTTTGAGGAATCTCAAAACATTTGAACCCTATTGGCCTATTTATTATTGTAAAAGGGACCTTGGGGTTTACAAGCAAACAAATAAAAAAAATCAACCCACATTTTCTAAATAAATTCAAATTAATAAAATATTTCATTAATTGTACTATTGATGTCAAACATAACTTTGGATTGGATGATCGTCATCAATACCAATTATGTAGAAGCTAGAACCTAATTGAAGGAAAAATAAAATGGGTTTTAGGTTAAGTTGTTACATAAAGTGGATGTTTATGTGACAAATGGTCTATTTGAGAATTTAGTTTATTGAAAAATGATGAAATGCTTAGAGTAGGCAAAACCAAATGCTTTATGTGTTTTCTTGGTTTCACATATGATAAGTCATACAATAAACTAAGATGGTAAATTGAGAAATGATTATGTTTGAGGGATATTATAAGTTAAAATTTAAACCTTAATTGTTTGAATATGTAAAATAAAAGTTAATAAAAAGCACCAAAAATTATTTTGGTTGAAGTTGTGCTAACAACTGCCATTGTCGGTTCTCAAGCCTCGGATGTAAAGTGTGGAGGGTTGTGTTAGGTAGTCAACAACCAATGTAAAATTTGTCAAAGTTTCATGATATGAATCCTTTAAATTCTTGCGTAAATATTGTTTTATGGCCTGAATACAGTGAAAAGTGTGCAAGAGCCGCTACACTGTGCCCAGGTGTAGTGTCAAATAAGCAAGAGGTTAACATTACGGGCGGAGGTGGGTAAAGAAGTTAGTCCATAAAATTAATATTAGGATACAATTTTGAAATATAGGTACTCTCACTAGCAAATTAATGGAATTAGTTGATATTATGGTTCATAGAAAGATAAATATCTTTTATATTCAAGAAACTAAATGCATTGGTGAAATGGCTAAGGAGATTAATAGCTTAAGTTTTAAACTTTGGTATTCAGGTAGGAGTCACACTAGAAACGTCAGTGTATGTATAGATAAAAGTTTGAAAGATAATGTAGTAAAAACTAGTAGAATTGCAGATAGATTTATAACCCTTAAGATTATTATTGCTGCTAACATTGTTAATGTTACAAATACTTTGCTCCTCAAGCATGTTTAGATATAGGTTCTAAAGAAAATTTTTTGAATGACCTAGAAAAATTATTACAAAATATTATTTTTGAAAAAGGAAATTTTTATTAGAGGAGATTTAAATGGATATGTTGGTAGAGTATGGTTTTGGAGTGTTTAATAAAGAAGATAGAACCATTTTAGATTTTGCTTTAACGTATGATTTTATTGTTGCTAATACTTTATCTAAGAAATGAGAAGAGCTCATTATTACTTATAAGAATTGATCTAATAAAACATAAATTGATTATTTTCTTATTAGAAGAAGAGATCGTCGAGAATGTAAAGATTGGAAGGTCATTTCAAGTGAGTGTTTAAGTGCTCAACATCGATTATTAGTTCTGGACTTTAAGATAAAGTGTTTTAAGATAAAATATATTAGGAATCATTGTCATGAAATTAGATTGGGCAGCTAAATGACACATAAAATTATTTTTATCAGTAAACTTCAGTATTTCAAGATTTGGGGTATTCTTGAAGCTAATTCTATGTGGAATAAAGTAACAAATGCTATTATATAAGTGACAAAAGATGTAATTAAAGGATCAAAAGGAAAAGTTTTTATAAATAAAAGTAGTTAATGTGGAATAATAATGAAGATAAAATATAAAAAGTTATGTTATAAAAATTGATTTAAATGTAAAAACATAGTGAACTGTGAAAAATATAACATGACCCGTAGGGAGTAAGAGAACAATTTGTGACGCTAAAAATTCTATTTTTAGTGATTTTTATAATAGATTAGACATTAAAGATAGTTAAAAATATATGTATAAACTAGTCAAACAAAGAGAAAATAAAAGTAAATATTTAACTCAAATGTATAAAAGATGAAAATTAAAAAGAGTTTTTCTTAAAGGAAGATATTTAACATAGGTGAGTGAGCTATTTTGATAAATTTTTCAATAAAGTTTCTAAACTAATATCATTAATAATAATAAAATATTTTATTTTTATCAACGCATTAGTAAAAAGGTTGACGAGGCTTTAAAGAAAACCAATGGTGAAAAATCAGTAGGATTTGATGGTATCTCATTTGAAGTGTGGAAATATTTAGGAGGTTTGGGATTTTCTTAGCTTACTAAATTCTTTAATATTCTTTTAAAAACTAAAAAAATGCCTGAGAAGTGGTGGAAGAGTATTTTGGTCTCCATTTTTAAGAATAAAGGGGATGCACAAGAGTGTGCAAGTTATAGACGAATTAAGTTGATGTGTCATGCTTTAAAATTATGGGAGGGTAATTGAACATAAGCTAAGACGTGTCACAAAGATTTCTCATAATCAGTTTTGATTTATGCCTGGGAGATTTACTATGGAAACTATACATTTATTGAGTGGTTTGATGGAGAAGTATAGAGAGAATTAGGAGGTTTTACATATGATTTTTATTGATTTAGAAAAGCTTACGATAAGGTTCTAGGAGAAGTCCTTTGGAGAGTTCTAGAGAAGAAATGTGTTAATAATAACTTATATTCAAGTCATTAAAGATATATATACTAGAATTTTTACTTGTGCTCGAACAGAAAGAAGATTGACCAAGTGTTCCGTATTTCAGTTGGATTATACTAGGGATTGGCTTTAAGCCCATTTCTTTTTACTTTAGTTATGGATGCTCTTACTGGATATTTACCAGAGGATGTGCCTTGGTGTATGCTTTTCGCTGATGATATCATTTTTGTGGATAAGACTAGAGAAAGAGTTCAGGATAAACTTGAATTATGGATGCATACATGGGAGTTTAAAGGCCTTTGAACTAAAACTGAATATATGGAATGTAATTTTAGTAGTAGCAGCTCTTATGTCTTATGACAGAGTTGTAATTGTGGGGTGATCAAATCATTAAAATGTGTGAACTTATTAGATATCTCGGGTTTATTGTTCAAAGTGATGGTGATATAGATGGGGATGCTATTAGTAGAATTCTAGCTATTTGGTTGAAGTAGAGGAATGCATTGGGCCCATTGTGTGATAGAAAAGTACCTCTTAGACTAAAAGAAAAATATTAAAAGATGGTGGTGAGATTTGCAATGTTCAATGATGCAGAATATTGTTCTTTAAAAAAGAAACATAAAACAAAGTTTTGTGCTGCTGAGATGAGAATGCTTAGTTGGATGACTTGACACATAGAGTCAAATGCGAAATGAATATATCTGTGATAGGGTTGGTGTAGCTCTAGTGGCGAACAAGATTAGAGAGAGTCGTCTTAGATGGTTTGCTCACATTAAACGTTGATCATCTGATGATCCGGTTAGGAGAGTAGATGTTTTAGATTCAACTTATGTTAAGAAAGATAGAGGTAGACTTAAAAAAATTCGGGCATATTGTATAAAAAATGATGTTAATTTATTAAAATTAAATGAAAATATGACACTTGATAGAGCACAATGAAGAAAAAGGATTCATGTAGCCGACCCCATTTAGTGGAATAAAGGCTTGGTGTTTTTTTAGTTGTTGAAGTTTTGCCAACAAATTCTAGAAAAGTAATTTTTAATATCACATGTAATACTCAACATGAGTGGACAAATAATGTGGATGCATAAGTTGACCCCAAATACTTGTGAAAAGGTCTGTGATTATGACGCTATGATAACTTTTTTTTTTTTTTTTGTTTTTTTGCGCAAGAAATGGGGTAGGCATGGTGTAAAAGTAGTCTCTAGGATCTTATTAAGGTTAATTATGATGCCGAGTTGGGAAGTTCTGTTTTTTATATTAGTCCCTCACTATTCAACATGCACATATCACATGCAATCTTTGTATTTTGGACACTCAAAGATAAACTTTTTTTATATGACTTTGAGAAAAGTTTGTTTTAAAATTTTATGATTGATATGGGAACTTTTCAGCGGCAAGCCATGTGTTTAATACATACTTTTTGGCTTTATGTGATTTTCTAACTTTTTTGCCTTAATTTTGTATTATTTGCTATCTAATGCACAAGGAGCTTATAGCATCATCATTTCATTCCTTGAAACAACAAAATTTCAGGTGCCTGGATATATTTTCAACTGAAGAACAAAATATCTTGATGAAATACCGAAAAGAAAATTTTGCAGAAAAGAAGCTTGTTTATCGAGAGAGGAGGATAATTGGAAAGTGCCCATTGACCCCAGAGGAGGTAAACTCTTATGTCACCAAGTACTCCATAAATATTTGATCTCCTTAACTCTTAGTCCTAGATATTATATTATTAAGTACATAATGTTTGCAAGCAAATGGAGTGTGTGGTTACACCAAATACTTGAAAGGAACCTGATTGAATTTCTAAAATTGAAGCACTTTTTTGGGTTGATATGTTGAAACCTTAAAGCATGTATTCTCTTATACTTTATCATCTCATGCTTTCATTATTCTTCCGCATTCCAAATCTTCTAGAAGTGTCATTTCTTATAGTTTAATTTGCATTGCTTCCTTAATATTCCATGTCACAAGGAATCTTGAAACACTCTAATCAAATTTTCAGCTTATGTCCATTTCATTACCTTCACGTTATTTTCATCAAATTCCCTCCTTAACAATAATCTGCCATAACTATCCTTACATTTCATATTTTGCAGGTTAGTATATACAAGGAACTAGGATAAATTAACTTTTTTTTTTTGGCAATATTAACTTTTAATATATTACGGACTTAGTTGGGCAGGAGTTGGGTTGCCTATTTGTTCAAAGTGAAACTCATCTCTTGTCTTGTGGCGGATTACCACTAGTTTTTCTTAGCTTTGTACCTGAAGTTCTAACAAAAGCTGCATCATCATTTGTTTGATTGTTCTGCACATTCATCTGGGTCTAAGAGGTTGGCATGCATGTAAATCACAAACTTAGCATAGGTGATTTCTATTCATTAATGAAAAAAAGGAGTTTCACAGGGATCACACAATCATCGGGATCACACAATCATCCTAGGTTCAAGAGGCTGGCATGCTTTGGAAATCATAGGTTTAGCTTGTGGTATTTATGAATAAAAAAAAGAGTGGTAAAATCTCCACTGCTTATTTTAGGTAGGTTTCTGGTTGGCTTTTTGCTATTATTTCTTTTATTGAAGCAATGTTTCTCGGTTACTCTAGAAGTAACAAAAATTCTATGAACAATTTACCATTGACAATGCTGTGAGAAAACCTGCTACCAGACCTCTGTTTTCGCTTAACCTGAATATTACATGCATGCTATGTTTTAAAAAGAGTTGGGCTTATATATACAATTTAGAGATTATACATCACTTACGAAAAACAAAATCTAGGAATTTTCAACAGAAATGCTTCTTTCGTGACATTATTTTACCAGGGAGAAAGATGAATCAATCTTCTCATCAACGAAAATCTTCTTTATATTTTCTATATAATGATATTGTATGTAACCTATGAAAAAGATATAGGAATTTGCTAAGCATCTGGACTGTATCCAACTCAAAAAAACATGCCTCCAACCTTTCTTACCTGAAAGTGTATAGAATGGATATGGGATCTTTTGCTCTGATATGCATATTTTACTATCAATGCTAGCTATGAAACACCAACACTTCTAAATGTCTTCTGTGTCTATGTCAGACGGGCATTAGACACAGACACAATTGTGAAACGCCTAGACACATTTCTGCATTTTTAAAATTACGTTGAACTCATTTGAGACTAAAATTGCGTTTTGACCTGTGTTGGGTCCTGGCTGACATGTGAAGACATGCCACTATGACGTGTAGAATCGAGATAAAACCAAGCCTAATATGCCCTAGTTAAATATTCTCTCCCATGTGCACCTCCCATATTTCTCTTATATGTGTGCCCCAACTTTATCTTTGCATTTTTCTTTCACATGCAAGTTGCAGCGACTTTGACAAGGGCCATAAACATAAATTGGAGGTTGCATGTAAATATTTGACTGTATTTATTCAATCGTCATGTACATCTATATCCTTTGATATGTCATTGCATAAAATGCATAATCAAAGGTTGAATGATTCATCCATGCCCCATGCCTCTCTTAGTTGGTGTCTCTCCAATTTTATGTGAACCGATGATGTCGGTGTTCCATAACCTCTTCTTTACCAGCCAATTAGGTGTGATTGACACAATATAACTCGTTGATGAACTCATTTTTAGTACAATTGCAAACTTAAAGAGTGACTATAACCCTATTTCTGTTATTTGGGATGCTTTATTTGAATTTTTATTTTTTTTCCTTTTTCTAATTGTTTTAAGTACTAAATAAAATGCTAAAGCTTAACATATTTTTAAATAAATTGTTATTTCTTGGGCCTTTCTATTTATTTTTTGTTTTCAAATTAAATCAAAAGTATACTTTTTTCTTTTTGCATATCCTATGAGTAGGGGTGAGTATTCGATTGATTTGGATGGATCGGTTATTAATTTTTTCAAACCAATTGCAACCGAAATTCAAAATTGGAAACATCAAACCATTCAAAATTTTGATAAAACCGAACCGACTAAACCGACTAAACCAAAATTTAATTTGGTTTGAACGGTTCGGTCATAAACAAAACCAAATTTGAATTTTTTATTTGAGTTTAGTTATGAACAAACATGTGGATTATATATCTTACATGTATAATGTCAATTTAATTTCATGAAACCTCTATTTATTTCAATTAGTTGTTTTGAATGATGAAAACTTTGGATTTTTAAATTTATTCAACATGAAATTAAACAAGAATAAGAAATTTTAATTAAATTTCGTTTATTCAGTTTGTTTGGTTAAATGAAATTAAAATCAAATTGAAAACTGAAAATCAAATATTAAGGTTTTCAAAACAAAAAGCTGAAATGTTTTTTTTTGAAGCCAAACTGAATCAACCAAACTTGATCAGTTTGGTTTGATTTTTTGGTTTTAATCAAATAATGCATACCCCTAGCCGTGAGATTCATATGTTAAGGCTAGCAATTAGTATTACTTACCTGTGTCTATACTCTTTATGATTGATTAATATATCGGTTTAACTTGTGAATTGTAATCATTTGCAAATTATTGTTAATTGTTTCCTACGTATAATGTTTTTTTGTTCTATTTGTAGAGATTAATCTTTAAGTTTATATATGCATATAGTTGGTTGAACTTGTAAGTTGTAGTTATTTTGCAAATTATCATGGACTCTTCCTATAATTTTTTGTTCTGTTGTTAAACATTAATTCAATTTTGCAACTTTTTATTTTTAAGCTGTTACTGTTATGTTTTTTTAATGTATAATAATGGAATGAATTTTAAAATGACTTTTAAAATGAGAGCAAATGCAATTGATAATAATTCTATACATGATGACACTAATTCCTTATTAAATTTATGTTACCAAATTAGATAACTATTAATTTCACTTATCAAATATTTTTTTTTATTTCATATTATAGTTATGCTAAACTTAGTGAAGCTTAAAATTGTTCTTCAGCACATAAAAGTATAGAAATATTATATGGGAGGGACAAATATTTAAAAAGAATTTTTATAAATATTGAAGATAGATCAATGATTAATTTGGAAATTCTTAAATTCTTTGGATTTAGTAGTACTTTTATTGATAATGGCTCTATGGCTTTTAAATAAATTAAGGTTTAAATGGTTTGGTGGATGATTTATGATGCTAGTTTTTCTTGACTAAAAAAATTGGTTTTTAAATGGTTAGCTCAACCATGCTTCACTTGTTATTGTAAAAGATATCAAGTACACACTCTTTTATCATTTCACTTAAGAGGAACAAGTTTACTTCTCAATGAAGGTGAATATTTAATTTTTGTGCATGTTAATAGTTATCATTTATCTAGGAGCCCAGAATATACTCAAGAAGAGACTAGAATGCGGGACATTGGTAGAGATACGTTAACTATAATAGACGACTTTGGAATATTTGAAGTTGCTAATTTTTCTCTTGATCAGCCTCTTTGAAATCTCTGTTTTTTTTGGATGAATGTGAAGACATCATTGAAGAGGGCACATGTGTTAATGCTAATGCTGACCATAGTTTTGAGTGTGTTAACTCTAATTAGTCAGGCTCATATATTCAAATTTTATTTGATTTTCTCGAAGGGGTTTGCACTATTTACTAATTCTTAAAATTTTAAACATTTTGTTAGCAACATTTTAATATAACAAATTCTCCCATCTTTTGGCAGGTGGGTCTCATCCTACGCGCCATGGGATTTGACAACTCCACTCGCATCTACCTTGCTGCCGGTGAGCTTTTTGGTGGGGATCGTTTCATGAAGCCATTCCGATCTCTCTTCCCACACCTCAAGAATCACAATACAGTACTGGGCGCCCAGAAGCTCGAAGATAGCCCCCAGGGACTCCTTGGCGCCGCTGTGGACTACATGGTCTGTCTCCTCTCCGATATTTTCATGCCTACCTACGATGGCCCCAGCAACTTTGCCAACAATCTCTTAGGGCACCGTCTCTACTATGGTTTCCGCACGACAATCCAGCCCGACAGAAAAGCATTGGCTCCCATCTTTATCGACAGGGAAGAGGGTCGAAATACTGATTTTGAGGGACGTGTTCGTCGAGTAATGTTCAATTCGAAGATAGGGGGACCTCATCGACGAGTTCATCCAGAGTCTTTCTACACTAATTCTTTTCCTGAGTGCTTCTGCAAAATATCGCCTCAGAACCCCGCCGATGGATGCCCGCCTGATAACATACTACGAGTTCTGGAAGATCGGTTGCGGAGTGAAGCGGGCAATGAGGTGGAAACCGGTAAGAGTCCCAATAACACAGTTTTAGCGGAGTAGAGATTGAAATTAGTAATGCGGATTACCAAATTTTTCATTGATTAATATCGGTTGAGCGAGGCTTTCTCGCATGTAGATTTATCCTAGGATACATAAAGATAAAAGCTAGTATCGATACCGCTTGTGTGCGAATACGTTGGGAAAAATGTTGATTTGAATTGCTGTAAGAAAAAGAAAAAGATTGATTGGAAGGTTTATTTGTAAAAAATGAGAACAAAGTTTTTGTGTTCTATCTGGTGCAAGAGTTTAAGCTCTACTAACTATCATGGTTAACTGGAAGGGCTAACAGGCTCTTCCTGAGTATAAAAGGTAACCAACCAGGGGTACTCCTGGCCCCCAATTGAAGATTAAAGGGAAAAAGGACTAACAATTTGTTTTTTACAGAAATGTATGTATTTAAAGTTTGAATCTCTCGCAAGTTCTGCTTTTTTTTATTTATATGAATCTCTCATTCTCTCTCTCTCTATATGTATATATATATATATAAAGTATATATGTAATTTGGAGTGGAGGTTCCTTGGTCTGCTAAAATATAATGCCACAAATAACTGTATGATCCATTCATGACACCACTGCATTTGCATGTAAGTATAAAAGTAAGGAGAATTTACATACATACCACTGAATTCCTATGTATCTGCATATTTAACACCAATGCCAATTTTTACGTGCACGACACCTTAGTTATGCATAAAAATGTTGTATTTCAGTTTTTAAATGTTAAAAATGGTGATATTTTGTGTATGAAAGATTTTGGTGGTATAAATGTAACAAAGTAAGATTTAGGTGTTAGAGATTTGAATACGTATGAATTAGATGGTATGTAAGTAAATGCCCCAAATAATAATTAAGGATGCAGCTTACATTAACGACATTGCTCAACATATTTGGTGATGAACTCTGGAAGGTTTCTGCCTCTACCCTGCTACTAATTTTATAGCTGCAAATGTCTCAACCTGTAAATTTTCATTATCTTATCCCATTAGCTCTCTCTTTTTTAGGAGTTTCGGAAAAAGATAAGCAATGCAATTTTGAAGGAAAATTATTTTATTTTCTGAGATTTTATCTAGACAATTTAGACTATTCATATTTTTTATTAGATGTGAGAGATTGATATTTTCTATGGGTGCAAATTTATGATTAATTGCATTGTGTGTGCTAAGATATCACGAGCACTATTCATTAAAGGCTTCATTATGCTATCCCTTGGGGGATCAGTTAGATTTGGTTTGTATTGGAGTCATTGTTGGAGATGTGTGGGCAACATAATCAGAGTTGTATGGTTATGTATCTCAATTTAACCTGGTAGATAAAATCTATAGGCAATAGAGAGCTAGAAGATCAAATTGGGCAACGTAGTTTGATTAGCAACCATGTATTGCTGTATAAGTATAATTAAGGGTTATCGCTCTATGTAATGATAGCTACCAATCTAGATCTGAAATGGAATCTATTCATGGGTACCAATGTAGATGTGAGTGGCTTGATAGTGTTGTGTACCAGGCTTGATTTGTATTGAAATTGTGTTTAGAGTCTTAATGAGGCTATTTCAACGAATTGTGATCTTTATTAGATCCACCTTATAGAGGAAAATACCGAGAGCATATGAGGTAAAAGTGGTTCAACGTTGTTAGAAAATTTTCAAGGTCTTATTCCATATTGGTATTTAACTCAAGACAACTCTTACATGAATTAATTGAGGTTAGCATTTACATGGTAGAAGATATTTCAATATATCCATAGGGTGCTTCAAATTGGAAGCCAAGGTGGCTTGAGCTCTAGGTTAGAGTGCAATTGACTCGGAAGATCTTACGCATCAAAGTTTGACATGATTTTTATTGGATTTCTATTAGCCCTAGAAAAGACTTGCGTCTTAATTTTGTAGAGGCAATTTTAATGATTTTATGTTTATGGATTCAAACAATTTTATGCTGGTTTGATAACTCATATCTTAATGTGAGAAAATTTTGTCTGATAAGTTATAGAATCTGTTATAGATGGAATGCAAAAAGAAAATAGAAACTTATACGAACTCCATTTAAATTGCATAGAACTTGAGCAAAGTATGCCATAGGACTAAAAAAAGGGGATTATATTTATTATTAGTTTATACCTTTAATGCTAAAGTACCCTTGAAGGATGGAATGCAAAAAGAAAAAGAGAAACACATACGAACACTATTTTATTTGCATAGAACTTGAGTAAAATATCACATATGACTAAAAAAATGGATTATATTTGTTATTAAATCATTGTTATTTGGGAGGGAGGGAGATGGGAGGCTATATTTCATAAAAAAACCTAATGGATTAACAATGTATTTTAGTTTTGTGTTGGGTTAGGATGGTATGTTGATAATTGACTTTAAGTGTGCCTCTATGTTTCAGCATGGCAGTTGATGATTCCATATCTTATTGAAATGAATGAATATATAACTTGGCAGGCAAAACCTTATGAATCCATATCTTGTCACTTAATGTGCATATCTCGAATGTAAATGCTTGCCATATAAAAAAACAAACTATGGGATAGAGTAATCATTTAAATATTTTGTGTTTGGCTTAGGAGGTTTTAAGCATGCTTGAATCAAATTCAAATGATTTTGTTAAGGGGAGTAAGTAGGCTTAGTTATATTTTCATAATGTGAGTACAATTTTGTTACTCAGCCAAATGATTTAGAATTGAACTTATAGAAATGAATCTAAACTTGACTAATAATTAAGCATATTTGAATTTGCCAAGAGATTGATTGAATTTAAAATACCAAATTAATTGAGTAATTTCAAGCTTGTTGTTGTGGCTGAGTAAAATTTAAGCTAATGGAGAGGAGGTAGTATATTTTACACCACATGAAGAGGGGTGAGTTTTAGATCATACCTCTTAACTGTTAGTGAAGGTCAAGTGAGTTAACTTGCTTAATGAGATTGAGGATGAGTTTGGGCAGAGTACCAAGTGGTTTAAAAGCTTTTGACGCTCAAATAAGAGATTGCATTGATGGCTTTGATCTTCCATCTTTAGGTGGGAAGCGGTTTGTAGACTTCTCCAATATGGTTGTTGAGTCGTGATTCTTTAAACTATGTGCCAAGAAAGTTAAACTTTTTACTTAATTGGTTTTGGGAATTAGGAATAGGGATCAATTAGGCCGAAGAGGGCTTAGTGAGTTTTGACGTCTAAATATCTCCCTTGCATGTTACATTTATAGCTTTAGCTTGTTATAATCATTGCATTAATTATTAAACTTCCTAATTGAAGATAATGTCTCTCAATCTATTTAGCATTTACTTCAATTTTTGATAACCTTAAATGCCTTGTTGTTAGAATTTACTTTGATTACACCAATTTTTTTATTATGTGTCCCTTTATTGTAAGAATAATAATTCTCATATTTAATTGAATATGTGGGTAGATATTTTTCACCATAATTTGGATAATCTAACTACATTTAAGGCATATTGTTTTGGCATCATATTTCTTGGAACATTATTTGTTAAATCCCCTTTTGCTTAAAGTATTAAATAGAAACATAAAGTTTGGGACCCAACTGAGCAAGGCCATCATATAAATTTGAGGAGTGTGTCACTAGAATTATATTTAGGTTGATTGATGGAGTAAATTTCTCTATGATATTTATTACAAAAACTAAGTACCATTAAAGTCATAAAGACTATTAAATTACCATATAACTACATGTCAACTTTTAGGATTCTTGAGATTATACCTTATGAACACACTTCATTTTATGAGCTCACAAAGCAATACTTAGGAAAACATGCTTATGGAAGGCAATTTATGCCTCTATTTAATGATATGATGGTTTTTCTTCATACTAGTTATGGGGGTGTTGAAGACTTGGGATTCCAATTTAAAAACATTTTGTACTCATTCCCATTAATTGATAAAGAGTCTTTAGAAGTTATGATTTTTTACAACTCTTTTTACTTTTTAAAGGAGATATGAGGAATGTCCTCTCAGTTATGAGTTATTGCAGGGCTTTTCATATTTTGGAGGTGATATAAAGAGTGCTCTCTCATCTGATGATGTATTATGTTGTTAACCTTTGAAATGAGCCACATATGTTGGATAATTTATCCTTCTTGGTTGCATACTATCCTTTGACATCTTGTATGTATATTGAGTTATGACTCAATTATTGGGAGACCACTCTTAACTCAAAATAGTTGGATTATTTATTCGGCATGGCCTGAGGTTATTATTATTAAACACTCTTAATTTGGATTTTTTTAATTCTTTTATTTCCCTCTTATGTATATACAGAGGGGAGACTAATCAAGGACATGCTCTCTCTCTCCTTCAAATTAAAAACTCCTCATATTTTATTTCTCATTCCTAAGATTGAGGGGAATGAATAAAGAACTTGTGCTCTTGCGACCCAACTACCACCTTTTCCACACCTTCCTCCACTTTGAAATATAGAACATTTCCCGGGTTGTATGAGCTGACAGATAATATTTCATCCTACATTCTAAAAGAATTCAAGAAAGAGAAATTATTTATTCATGACTTTGAGGGGAAATACACATTAAAGTTAAGTGAGTGGTCACTCCTTAAAACTTTATCTAAGTTTTAATTTTATCTAACATTTTTTAATATCTTAAGAATTGTTGTACTTACAAATATCATTATTCAAAAATAAAATGGTAAATAATGGCCCAATTTTCACTCAATTGTTGGATAAAAGACTTTTAAATTGACTTTATTACTTTAATATAAATTTAAAAGTTATTTTGAATTTGATTTCAAAAAAATTATTTTCTAGGTAATGTATTTTGATATAATGAATCCATCAAGTTCAAAATTTTATGAGTTTATGAATGCTTGGATCATAGAAGCTTTAATTAAGCCAAACTAGATTGAACTTGATCAACTTCAAGATACCCTTTTTCACTTACACATGAGCACAACATGTAGCAAAAGCCATACCACTCAAAAGGCAATGGAGGCATTTGACTTTCATTTTCTCAACAAAGATATATTTTATAAAATAACAAAATGTACATTCATAAATTTATTTTGATGTAATTATAAAACCACAAGGAGTTTAAAATTCAAAAAATGTATAAAAGTTAGGTTTGAATTTATATGCCTTAAAATTGACATCATTGAAAAATATCTTAAGTATTTTTTCCTTGGAAAAATATTCTCGAAATATTATTTCAGATTAAAATCTCTTTTTTTACATGTGTGGTCTATTGAATTCTATCGATTAAAAAAATGAGTTGAAATTGAATTTCATTCAAATCTTTGTCGGGATCATAGTTAAAATGCAATTTGAAACTATTTTGGACCTGTTGACCTCACTTTTGGTTGAGGTTTAGTTTTTCCGCTTTAGTGGATTAAGGTCTAGCCAAAGGACTTTCTTATTGACTATTCTTAGAAAACAAACTATAGAAAA